GAGAGAGAGAGAGAGAGAGAGGCAGTGGCAGAGACCACTCATGGCGTACGACATAAATAGGAGCAGGGCGCAGGGTTACCGTTGCGGGGCGGTGAGCCCGAGCAGGCGGTGCTCCTCCATGCCCGGTTCGTAACGTAAAAGGTTCCGTGATGCGTGTCGCAAGCGGGCGGTTGCGGACGCGTGGAGGGCGGAGGGAGACCCAACGGCAACCCACAGCACCGCTTTCGTTGCATGCGATGGAAAGGCTTTGGGCTCTACTTGGCTTGGGATCGAGCCTGACTCGAGTCCGTTTCCTTCTCCCAAAAGCTCACGCTTTGCGTTTCCCTTCACGGAAGTAATGCTCGTCTTTCCGACACTTATTTATGTGTTTTGTTTTATTTTTATTAGTGCCTATAAAAATGGCAAGCGTGCTTTCGGTGGAAGGTTACTCGATCCAGACGAGCCAAATGAAGTAAAGAATTATATTCAATGCCAACAATTGATTGGTGGACAATAATTATATGCCACAATAACAACCATTAATATATATATATATATATAATAACGAATTTGGAATATGAAAATAATAATTAATATTTACAGTTTTACTCATTCACAGTCTATCCTTCTTTCCCTTTCCCTTGCTGAATAATAATAATAATTATTATTATTATTAGGGTTATAAATGTTCCCATAGCAAGCATTAGTATTATAACATGTATCAATTCGATTAATAACCATTCAAAAATTGTGGTTATATACGTTATCATAACAAGCATTACTGGGCACATACATAACAAGCATTGCCTACCAGCAGTCAAGTCTGCACAGCTCTATTTCATGAACTTATGTTGAGTGGTACATCCTGCACTGTTTGTGGGACTCCCGAACGCAAAGAGGCTTAGCTCCATCTTTCTTCTTCTTTCCCGGGATGGATGAACCATCATCTCTCCAGGAATCCGGTCATCCGCAGGATGGAGTTCCTGACCTGCCTCAGATCCCGTCCCTTGAGCGTCCTGCCGTTGCCGACACACACCGAGAAGGACGTCTTGTCGGCGATCCTGCGGGTCACCATGACGTGCGGCGGGACGTTGTGGGTTTGGCCTCCGTCGTCTTTATCATCATCGTCACCTTGAACGCGGTCGGAACTGGCGAAGCCCAGCGTCCAAGAACGAACCGGTTGAGGTCTCGAGGGGATCTCGACGGGGCTGGATGTCCTCCGCCGAGTTCCGAGTCCGGCGTGCCACTCCTCGGTGAGCTCGTCCTCGTCGCGATCGTAGTCGGGCCACAGGATATCGGCTTCCTCGAATTCTTCCATCAGCTTCTTCCTCACCAAGTAGTTCTCCGAGAAGACGCATGCGGTGGGGGGATCTATCGGAGAAAAGGAGGGGGAAGGTGAGCAAACTTGCGTGGGCGACATGCGGTGGGAGGGGATGGATTTAGAGTGCGGGATCGGCAACTGTTGCGTCGCCGCGTGGCCGCAGCTATTCCATTCGGACCCGCCCCACCTCATTAACAATGTTGAGCTCCGAATGAATCTTCTCATGCACATATAAATAAGAGCTTTGCTCGAAACGCCGACGACAACTGCTAATTCGTCGAACACTTGGCGCCCTGTGAGTCGCCCAAAAGCTTAATTCACCACAGTCATTTCGAAGGCGTAGGATACCGCCCAACTCTGTGTTTCTCCCGCAGGCAAGTCGGGGCGACTGAGGCGCCGGGAAAGGGACGAATGGCGACATTGGATGCACTTGGTTTTCCTGCACCAAGACGCCATGCCCCAGCAACCGAACCGAGCGAGGACAGAGACCTTGTTTTGTGCACGCATTATTCTCATTCTGGATGGTGAATCTTTTGACTTCCTTCTCCTCCTTATCAGAAATCTCAGCTTCATTTACAGATCAACCCGTTCTAAGCAAGTTTAACCCCGCGACAAATCTGTCTGTCAGTGTCGATCGATTCAGTCATCTCCTCGGACAAGTTACTTGAAGAGTTTGTTCGACTTCGACCATTGTGTATGTTCCATATATTTCTCGATAAATTACTTCTCGGAGAAAAAGGCACATTCGGATAAGGCCAAAACGCAATGAATCATCAGATAGGTAGCTCGACTCTTCCTGCAACTATCGTTTGGTGGTCTGCTATATATCCTCAAGAAACTTCCAAAAGCACCGGTTCAAGTAATTTGGTGCTTAATGATTGCTATCACGTCTCATGAATGTTAATCATCATCGATATGATTAATTAGCGGATTGTATTGTATTCTAAATCCAGCTGCAAACTCAACGTGCAACCATAGACGCCAAATCTGGGGTTTCATGCAGACGACGCTACTCGTCAGCAGATTGTTCTATTGTCAATCGTTAAAGAGGCTATTTTCATGACTTGGAATTTTGATCTCTTAGGTACCGAAACTGATGCTTATGCATTAGTTAATATGTTTTATGATGTAGGTAGGGGAGGCCGAAGAATGATAGAGATTTGTATGCACACAATTTAAGGATCAAGATCACAAGACTCGCAACTGATGAGCACCGAGGGACTGTTTGCAGGTGTAGATGTATCGTCGACACCGTACTCTCTTCTTCATGCATTGGATCTGAGGCGGGAGTAGGTCATCCTTCGAGGAAGCCGGTCATGCGGAGCACGGAGTTACGGACGTGGAGGAGATCCCGGCCTTTGAGCGTCCTCCCGAGGCCGGAGCACAGCGAGAATGCCACCTTCCCCTCCGCGCTGCGTCGCGACGCCACAACATGCGGCGGCGCCCACTCGATCTCCTCCTCCCCGTCGCCGCTGCCGCATGCACGCCCGGGACTTGGTCGGGCGCTCGGGATGTCCAGCGGCGCCGCGCACGAGGAAGGCGGACTCCGAGCGCCCGGCGCCGTCTTCCGGGTCGAGCCGTGACTGTTGGCGGAGCCGATGGGCCCGTCGTTGTTGTCCTCCGGCCACATCACCTCCCACTCGTACAACTCCTCCATCTGCCTCTAATACCACCACGAGATACTTCTTGGAATTCCTGATGTGCGATCGAGTCACACTTGCCGCGTGCTGGTCATGGGAAAAGGAAGGTGTCGAGGGGTTTATAGCGGCATTCCGCTGGCCTTCCAATCATCACAAAGTGCCAACACAGTGCAGTGCTTCCAATCGATCAATGGGTTTGGCTCGATTTGCATGAGTCAGTGGTGTCTTTTCTTAGATGTATATATCCGGAACATGTGCGTCGCTTTCTCTTCAGTCCATTTGTGATCAAAGGGATGAGGAGGGAGAGGCAAATGGGATGATGGTGTTATGGTTTCGATACTAAGTATAATACGGGCATCTAATGTGATAAGGATTATAACTCGGATACATAACTTATGATAAGGATTAAAGCAACAGATGTGGCGGTGTGCGTGGGTGGATTCCTGCGCATTCCGAGGTTGGGGGTAACTTGGGGGAACCGGGTTGGTCCAGGAAGTCGGAGGAAGGAGGCGTGGGGTTTCATCATGCTTCCTAGTGCGACGTGGCGTGTGCGTGCCTCCGTCTGCCGGCACCGTATTCCACTCGAACCAGGCAACGACAGAAAAAGATGGGACGCCACCGCCCGTCGCCTTCGTGCTAATGGATAAGCATATGCCCCGAGTCCGAGTCCGATGCCGGGGTCCATCGTCGGGTCCGATGAAACGGCAAATGAACGTCTGCCACGTTGACGAGTTGGGGGGGGGGGCATGATGTTAGGCCTAAGTCGTTGACAAAAGTGGGACGTCACCCGGTCATCGTCGATAACCTGATCTCATGTGGATAAGCCCCTCCTTACAAACTCCATCAAAATGGCACGCTCGCTCAGACTGCAATCATTCCCAAATCGAACGAATGTGCCAAAGCAACATGGAGTTTCAGTGTCGGTCAACGAACTAAACAAACTTGGGGGGATCATCTTAGTATAAATAAACTTATCTTGTAGCGATTACATATCCCGACTCTACTGAAGCACCGACCATGCATGATGGACGAAACCCGGCATGGATATGATAAAGATGTACACTCTGAGGAGGCCAGCCAACTGAGTTGGCTATTTCTGCAGGGATAATCTCGAAGATCAAGAATATATATCTTTTCTGTGAGAACAACATGAAGGTCTACGAAGGCATAAGAAGCGAGATGTACCAAATTATAATCCTTCGTTTCATGAATATTGATTGCACTAGTGATGCTGGTGGCTTGAAGGCCAATCCCAAGAGGGAATCAAACATGCTGACAGGAAGGTGAATGATTTCAGTTGCTTGAGATTGAAAAGAATGTCCTACCAATCATATCAGAATTGTCTTTTTCTGATATTTTGACAGGTTTCAGTCTGTAAAAAATTTCCATGCACCTAGAAAAATACATAATACATAGGTGTGGGCACCACCAGCTTGCTGTCCGTGCAAAGAACTTAAGAAACTGATCAGCTTTGGAGAGATATCTGGCCTCCCGAGCCATTTTCTATTTTCTCTGATGAGAGAAAGTCTTTGGTTATTCCAGAGTTTTGAATCAATACAGATTTACTTTTGGAAAGAGAAAAAAAATATATATTAAAACAAATCTATTATCTACCTACATGGTTACATCACCATTCCTGGGGTAAAAATAAGCAGCGGGATGAGCCGCCTCAGCCAACTCTCCGAGGAAGAATACGACATCATCAGATGAGTTTAGCAGATACCTTGCATTTGAATGCTTCCGCCCAACAGCACATGAGAAGTAGTTGTCGCCCTTAAGATCAAGCACGGATGACCCCTCGCGCCATGACATGGTCTCTTGAGGAGACCGCCATCCAGCTGGTATGTTGTGATTTGTTGACATCCTCTTTTCAGATCCGACTGGAGCCCTTTGAGACTTAACATGTGATCCCCTTGAGTTGTTCTTTATGGTTGATCTTCCCGTCGACCTCTTGTCAGTAGTTGATGGTTTACCGGTGTCACTTTTCGTTCTCGAGGAACTTACTGGTTCGGATGGAAGCTCTGGTTCAAAGAAAGTATAAATATCCTCATCCTGCAGCAGAGAAACAATCTTTATAAGTGATAAGATATTGTGCTAGGCATGTCAATTATGAGAGAGATGCTATTCAACAATCCTGCCAAACACGAACCAGATTTTATACATCAAAATCATGATTTAACGTTCTTCATTTCAAAGTTTAATAATGAGAACTGAATTCTCTAGCTGATGTAGGTGATTAAATTTTAAAAAAAGTTCAAAATGGAAAGCCACTAAAAGAACAGCCAAAAACACAAATTTCACATCGGTAAGCTGTTTATTATCAATTTATTTATCACTGGTATAACATCATAACTTAATGTTTCAGAAGCACCACCATAAATTTATGATGGTTCTACAGATCATCCATAAGCAACTGAAATGGATTGCAGAGGCACTTAAAGCTACCTGAGGAACCAGAATGAAATAGAAAATCATGATCTACAGCATGACACTTTGTGATTATTATCTTGTAAAGGCTGCCCCTAACTTGTTCATAAATTTGTATTGGATGCCAAGCAGAGTACTTTAGTATAAGTAAATAGTCTCAAAGGTATGTGTGTTCTTTTCCTTCTTTTGTGCATGGCTACCATCCATAAAAAATATGCAGGGAAAAAATAAAAATAATAATAACCTGGAACTTCAAGCGAGAGAAAAAACAATAATGTGCGACACCAAAGTGAAGCATAAGTTCGAACAACTTGACTTCAACAGCCAGAAAAGACAAAATAACAGGTATCTATCAAGACAAGGGGATTCAAAGTTCTTGCATTGGTGCTTACAATGAAGCATAGTTCATGAAATCTTTGCTTACAAAGCTGAGATCTAATATTAAATACCATAGATGATGTGTATGCTTCCTAGATGTTAGAGTTTGTATCCATAACTATATCACATCCAAAATTGAATTTCAAACCCAAACTCCAATAGAAAGAACCCCTATCTGATTTGAACTGGATTGGATAAAAATCAAAACCCAATCTGATTTGGATCCAATCCATTTCCTGCCCCAGCCATAGAAACCCATGGTAATGTTCTTTCCTGCACCGAATGGTTAGGCAAGGAATAGCTGTATGCTACAACATAACATGTTACCAACCCAATCTAACTATCAGCTAATGACTGGATGGGACAACCATCGTATCACCTAATATCTACATCCGTGGTTAGACAGCAAATAACTGTATACTACAATATACCCTGCCACCAATCTTGAATAGAAACTACCTAGCTTCTAGAAACTGCAAATACATAGAAGAAATACCTTGTTAGAATCTGAATATTTTATTATCTTCAGTCATTCGAAGAGCAGGAAAACAGATACTACAAAGACAAAAGCAAATATTGCAGGCCTTGCACAAGTTTGATTTAATTTCACAAGTAGCAAAGGCTGACTAACACAAGAAATTAATATAAAAGGCACTAATGGGCCATAGTTATTATTTCTCGACACCTTTGAACCATATTTGACTTCATAAATCACTTTGAGTAGTGCTGACTGACTAAAATCTTTGATTATACACCAGGGCAACTTGGTACTAGTCTTTCCACAATTCTAAATAACAAAGATCTAAATCTTGTTCTACCATTTTAAATGTCATCAGCCAACAATTAAACGAAAAAAGGAATGTCAGAGAAATAACGGTGAAAGCAAAACTATCACATAGAAGATCATTGTGCAATCCCAACATGTCTAAGAAAAGTTACCTTCCCAAGGAAATGGCCAACACATAAAACATAATCGATAGGTGTAACCATACTTTTACTGTGAACTATTTCTCCCAGTATTCGATCAATTGCAGCACCCTGCACAAGTACAGAAAAGAAGCAACACAACAAATAATGAGCTTCTTAAGGCATATTTTGGATCTCACACCGTCATCTATTATTTTGGCTGCTGAGACAGTCGACAAAATCTAAGCTATACATGATATTCCATATTTTCTATCCTTTTTTAGCAAATAAATGGATGAGCCCATCGAGCCTTGCTAAGATTAC